ACTTTTATCCTAAATAGATATATTTAGCAGACAAAACTATAAAGGATATAAAATTTTTGAAAAACGCAATTAACAAACCATCTAATAAAATTTTTCCAAATTGCAGCAATCCACTAATGGACTGTAAATTAAACTTGTAACCACCATTTAAAAAACAGAACTGAATAGAATTGAAAGTATCAAAATGGATCCCATATGGCAAAGATAAGCATTATTTTGTGAAACCTTTATGTTTGTGTTTTTGAATGATGATACAAAATGTACTACTTGCTGTGAGTTATAAAGTTTGAGTCTTCAAGCTAATGGATTTAAAGTCTTTGCTCCAAAATTGGAGCTTACCCTTTCCTCTCAAGCACTCGAGACCTATTCACAAAATCTGAACCGTTTACTAGGCACAAAAGAAATCTCAACCAAACCCAGAGAATCAATATCATATCCTGAATGATACTGAAAGATGTCCCATGAGAGCAATCTGACTGCTAGTTGGTTCTCTGTGGCTTCATTCAACAATCCCTAGGGTGGATGAGTAAAAGAGGCAAAGGCAGTCCAAAGATACAAACTTCCAGTTATAAAATAAATAAGTTATGGGGTGTATTGTACTGCAGAATGACCATAGTTAACAATACTGCATATTTGAAAATTGCTAAGAGAGTAGATCTTGGAAGTTCTCATCACAAGAAAAAAAATTTTATACCTGTGTTTAGTAATGAATGTTATCACCAGTTATTTTGGTGATCATTTTGTAATATATACAAATATTGAACCATCATGTTATGTACCTGAAACTAATGTCATGTTTTAGGTCAATAAACCTATACCTTATACCTCAGGTATACCTTATACCTTATACCCCATAAACTTATACCTCAATAAGAAAAAAAAAATCCTCATTGCCTGGAACGATCTAGAACATGTCCCTGTCCCTTGCAAGTGCCAACTAACTTGGCCAGTTATTACTGTGTCTAACATATAATAACATATAACAAGTATTCAGAAATTTTTGGTAGAATGAAATACTGTTCAGAGGAAGCACTTGGGCAATCTTTAAGAAGCTGAAACCAAGCTAAGATTAACTACTTTCAGCCTGTTGAGATGTTCCACCATAGAGTTGAGTACTAGAAGAAATATACTCTCCAAAAAGGCAAAAATGTTTCGGGCCTGCACAAGTGGAGGAGTATATGGGTGTTGGGTGCACAGACCATGATGTGAATAGGCACAAGGAAGCAGGAGAGCAAACTAGCTAACCAGAAGGGGCAATTCCTCATGGTTTCATATTGCCAACCCTCTTTTTTTTTTCAAAATATGAAATTTATTGTCAAATTGGTTTCCATACAACACCCAGTGCTCATCCCAAAAGGTGCCCTCCTCAATACCCATCACCCACCCTCCCCTCCCTCCCACCCCCCATCAACCCTGTTTGTTCTCAGTTTTGCCAACCCTCTTTAATCATCTTATCTATCAATGGAGAGAGTGACTTTTCTAGGACCCACTCTGTTAGTTCAAAAGGGACCAAAGGGCACAGATTCTTCTCACCATGCTCTGCTGTCTTTTATTTCACTCCAGGGTTTACAGCAGTGGAGTGGGAAAACCAGCTGGGAGACAGGGATGGCCCCCAGCAGGAAGGGTCCTCTGTGTCACACTAAAGAGTCACACTGTCAGATTTAAGGGAATGTAGAAGATAAAACAGAGAAGGGAGAAACTGAAGTACCTGCCTTTAACGTGTTGATTGCATAGGGTCAGCCCTCAAACAGTCACTTGAGAGAAGACCAAAGCATGGATAGAACAGAGGGTCTAAAAATTTCCTTAAGACAGCAAAAGCAGAAGAGCAGAGCCTGAAGCACAAAACAGGTGATTGCAATGTGCGCAATAAGAGAGGTTTAAGGAGCAGTGCCATTGCTTAAGCCCGAGTGACTAACAGGACGGTGGCACCGTTAGTACAAATGGGAAAGACGGAGGAGATTCACGTGGGGATGAGGGTGGCAAGTCTGTTTCTGGATACTCTGAGTTTGAAGTGCAAGGAGAAATCCATCATGGGGAAGTCCCCCAGGCAGCTGAAAAGGCAGTCTGAAGCTTTAGAGAGAAGCCTCAGCAGCAGCCCCAGAGCAGAAGGGGCACAGAGATGAGCTATTTCATTGTTCTCTGAGGTTGAGGGAGGCTGGGGCGGGGGGAGGACACAGTCCTCTGCAACTACTTCTGTCACGTAGAGATGCGTGAAACGCACAAACTCTCCTTGCTTTTTCCAGAATGTGATTTATCCATTTACGAAATTTCGGAGGTGAAATTTACTACCGAGCAAAACTCAAGATAGAGAAAATAGTATCCTTGCCTGGGAGCAAAGCTCATGGCGTATTCTTTTCTGGCATCAGTAAAAAGAACCCATTCCTGGAGACCACACCTGGCACTTTGCAGTAAATACCTCCTCTACCACCTCTGAACCTTGGATCGCCTGGTCCCATCGTTCGCTGCCTCCAGTACAGTCTTCCGCACCTACTCTCCTCAGACTCCTGTCAGTTCTTACAGTTCGTTTAGAAGTCTGGTAGAAATAAGCAGTCGTACCAGGCTGACTGCACCTTGGAGGTAAAATACCGATGGCATTCTAATCGAGCAATCTCTGTGAGTAATTTTAACCCACAGTGGAAGGGACAGGCTGGTCCTGTCACCTCCTCTGCATACATCCAGCCTGAGCCAACATCACGGTCTCTGAAGATCCTTGCCTCACCCTTGCCTGGCTTTGAACGTCAGCAATCATTTCTTCTCCCTCAGAAGCTATTTGTGACCTGATGCCAAGTCCTAGGCAAATCCACTGACGTGTGCAAGAGCAGCTTTGTTTGCTTTAAATATATTTATTTCCTCATTTATGTGTATATGTGACTTATATACTTATAGGTAAGCATACACACATGTAAAATTTATAAAATATATTCCTAAGATATTGTCTATACCCTTAAGGTAAGGCTCAAACCGGAAATTTTGGGAAAAGAAACTATTATGGCAAACCTTCCGGCAAACTTAGGTCAAAGGAGGAAAAAAGGGGGTGCCTGGGTGACTGTCAGCTGAGCATCTGCCTCTTGGACTCTCGATTTCAGCTCAGGTCATTATCTCATGGTTTGTGGGATCAAGTCCGTCATCGGGCTCTGCACCGACAGCGTGGAGTTTGCTTGGGATTCTCCGTCTCTCTCTCTCTCTCTCTCTCTCTCTCTCTCTCTCTCTCCCCTTCTACCCTTCCGCTGCTCACATGTGCGCTCTCTCTCAAAAATAAATAAACTTGAAAAAAAAGAAAAAGTAGAAAGAAAGAAGTAAATTACTAGTAGAGGTAAAAAGACCCACAAGGAGAGGAGAAATTCCCCCAGTCACAGGGGTAAGTGTATGTGAAAGTTAAGGAGCAAGGGTTACCCATGAAGAAAGAACATTCTCAGACTCTACCCCCTCCACTGGGAAGCTCACTGTGTCCCTAGGCAAGCTGTGGTCACCACAGCTCCACGTTTCTGCCCTTCATTCACTCCCCCACCCTGTGATTCCCTGATGCCACCACTGCCTAAGTGCCAGGCACTGTTCTAGGCACAGGGACCCCACAGTGAACTACCCAGACAAATCCTCTTCCCACACAGCTCAAGTTCTGGAGGCACATTAGTGAAGGCAACAAAGAAATAAAACCCGTGGCATTTTCAGACAAGTGCTGACAACATACAAGTAATTGACCAATATCCATAATGTGTCAGACGGGAAGACGGATCAGGACGGCCAGGGTGGAGGCAGGGGCAACTTGAATATGCAAGTGTGGAGGGGAAGGTGGCTGAGGTGAGATGTTAGCAGAGACCTCAAGGTGAGGGACTGAGTCCCAGGGGTATGGATCCCTGGAAAAAGAATGTTGGCTACCATCCCTCACTCCCAGACTCAAGGAACAGCAGGGCACCTGACTGGCTGTGAGGGGATGGGGGTGGGGAAGTAGAAATATCCACATGTCAAGTTGAACCATAAACATCTCAGTAACAGAGGCTGTGCTGCCATATTCCTAGCTGCATCCCCAGGGCCTGGTACAGAGACTGAATTAAGTGTGGGCAGATGCATGGCTGGATGGATGAGGAATGGTTTTGTGGACTTCCTTATAATGGAAGCCAACAACAAAACAGTATTTGCAGTACTGTATGCAAAGGAAATACACACACACACACACACACACACACACACACACTCATTTTCTAGATCGCTGTGCTAGAATACATTCACTCCCTAAAATAAAAAAAAAAAGAAAAACCTATATTTAAACCATATTGGCAGGGCGCCTGGGTGGCTTGGTCGGTTAAGCATCCGACTTCGGCTCAGGTCATGATCTCATGGTCCGTGAGTTCGAGCCCCGCGTCAGGCTCTGTGCTGACAGCTCAGAGCCTGGAGCCTGTTTCAGATTCTGTGTCTCCCTCTCTCTCTGCCCCTCCCCTGTTCATGCTCTGTCTCTCTCTATCTCAAAAATCAATAAACATTAAAAAAAATAATAATAAACCATATTGGCTGAATAATAGCTATAGGGGGCATACGCCTATTATCTGTTTACACAGGTTTAGTAGATAACCATAACATATTTTCCAGCTCATTGGAAAAGAAGACTCAAGAAAAAAGCTACTGCTTAATTTTGTATTCTAGTAATAATATACTCCATTTGGGCCCATAAGAGGAATTAATGGCCAGCTCATCTGAATGAAAATTATATAAAAAAAAAAAAATAGCTTTAGACCACGGTTCACCAAGCCTTTTCTGTAGCAGGCCAGACAGCAAATATTTCAGGCTTTGCAAACAACATACTGTCTTTGTCACAGTCTTCCCTGCTTTGTTGGGTTTATTTTTGTGTGGTTGTTGTTGTTTTATAAGGCTATGAAAAATGTAAAAACCATTCTTGGTTTCTGGGCCATACTAATAAACCATAGTTCACCAAATGGGACACCTGGAGTCCCCAAACCCCCAACAGTTAAACCCAAGAAAGAAATCCCCATACATTTTGGGATTACCTCTTTCAGTCTCTCCAGCTCATTTTGGAGGGCCTGCTTGGATATTTCCACTTCAATCATCTGCTGTCGGAGACTTTCGTTTTCATCTTCAGCTTTAGCACGCTTTTCCTCCACGGTTTCAAGTTCGTGGTGCAATCTAACAGATACATCTTTGGCTACCTGTATCAACCAACAGAGATAGTCATCAGAACGGGAAGCTTTCTGCGTGCTAAAGGCACATTCGAACAACTTTTGAGGCAGAATCATTAAGTGATATGATATCACAGTAAAGGGCAAAGACCCTGGAAATATTAACAAGCCTCTCTTTAAAAGAGGAGGTATTAGTTTCAAACATGAAATCCACATTATGAGCAAGGATACAACCTTTTAATCTGGATTAAAAGGCTACTGTGAATAGCCCTACCTCCTTACAGAGTATCACCAAGAATGCCAGTTCTGCCCAGGCACACATGCTTTAATGATAAATTAGAAATAATAGTAACAATAACAATAATCAACCAACCAACCAATCAATCAATAGGTCTGTTCCCTAAGATAATACTAAACCCACCTGCTTTAAAAAAAAAATCGAAATAATCCTGTAAAATGATACGGTCAGGTTTTAAATTGTCTACAGTAGTAAAATATCTGAATGTTAAAAGCAGTTAAACATTTTTAACCTTCTAAAAGGAAACAAGGAAAGATTTTGCAAAAGAAATATAAATCACCCTTACATCCCACTGAATGACATTTTGCTAGGGGTTTATAGATTTGATAGAATTACAAAGATTCTTTTCCTGTTATCATAATGAAAGGCGAAATGAGATTTCATAAGTGCTCCCATAATGAGGAGGACATTATGCATTATTCACCTCTTGATAAATGATTTGATAATCACGGCACAGGAGAAGCCACGCTACCTATGGAGAGAGCAAATGGTAGAAAGTCTGGAATTTCTTCACCTCATTCCCACTTCTGCCAGTGCTTCTCAAAAACACCTTAGACAATTAGCTTTAGACGATTAGTTATGATCCTCTCTCTCCTTCGGTTAAATCAAACCTCTACACCTGGGTTATGGTCATGTCAGGTTTCTGCATTCTAGAAACTTAAGTAACAGTAAAAAGGTTAAGTGATTATAGTCAACCTTTATGAGTGGCCTTTGACCATCACTGAATTGATAATCAATAGATTTTTTAAATATTCCAAATTTTAAGAAGGCGTTTCTGTAGAATTCTACACAACTGTCAGGCTAAGTGGCGGATATCAATTCTTTCATTTTTTTTTTTTTTTTTATTTAAAAAAAATTTTTTTTTCAACGTTTATTTATTTTTGGGACAGAGAGAGACAGAGCATGAACGGGGGAGGGGCAGAGAGAGAGGGAGACACAGAATCGGAAACAGGCTCCAGGCTCCGAGCCATCAGCCCAGAGCCCGACGCGGGGCTCGAACTCACAGACCGCGAGATCGTGACCTGGCTGAAGTCGGACGCTTAACCGACTGCGCCACCCAGGCGCCCCTCATTTTTTTTTTTTTTTAATTGTAGATCCCTTACTACGACTTCTTTCCCTTACGTTGTGAGATTCCAGTTCATATGTCAGGTTTAAACCTTGGCCTGTCAAAGCCATAGGACTACACATACCCTATAAGCCATCAGGGGAAGGAAGAATGTTTATGCTGGAATCTGTTGAGAGAGCAACACCACCGGAACATCAGGACCCTGTGTGAGTGGAGCCGAGGGCTGCAGTCTCAGATCTGTGATCGCGCCCCTCCCCTACCCCTGCAGCCCCTTCTGGGAATAAGCCGCCCTTCAACCCTGATCAGCTCACTCACCTTTAAATCCTGCTCCAGACTCCGGATGAGCTCGCCATCCACCTGACCAGTCTCAGCCACTTTCAGACTCTTCTGCTCTGCTTTCCTGAGGCGGTACTGCAGGATTCGGCAGTTTTTATTAGCACGGTCCAGCTCTCGCCGAAGCTCCTGCAGCTGGTAAACATCCTCCTCTAGGTAACTGTCTCTCATCTCTTCCATCTCAGCACGGAGTTCGTCCAATTCATCCTACACAAGGCAGATGGAGTTGACTCATAAGCCACCAGAAAAAGGATGGTGTCTCCTGTGTCCCCCTGCTCAGCAATACTAAATATTAACCACCTGTACACTCACCCACCGGCTTATGGCCACACCTGTGTGACAGGACCTCTGGAAATGGTCACACAAGACAATATCCTCAGATGTCTATTCAAATCTCATGGATCCAGAAGCTAAAAACCAGGATGGATTATTCACTGCAGCCTGCCAGCCTTATTCCCCTCCTCATATTTTCTTACATAATCAGAATCATAAATGAAATCGGCTCTGCAGATAACTAAACCTTTAGATTCACACCAAACATTGACCTAAACTTGTATCTCTAAGACACAATCTAGATGTCAAGAGGAGTTGGACAGAGCCCTCCTTCAAAGGACATAAACTTTAGTGGGGTTGTAAAACGGAAATGCCCTGGAATTATAACATACCTGCAAATGTCTCTAAAAACTCTGTACCACCATACAAATCTCAGCACTGACTATGTGACTCAATTTCAAAGGTACAACCTTTTGCATGATGTCAAATACACACTGGGGTGGCGTTTTTCATCCACCTGGGCTTTATTTCCTATCTCCACTTGATTCTGGCACCAGCATGAAGACGCCAGGAGGTTCAGGACCTTCAGCATGAAGGTTCAGGAGAAACCCAGGAGTGGTTTCTGGCCCTCCTGTTTCCCTCCCATTCCACAGTCATTCCAGTGCTCTCAGTCCAACACAGCCACAAACCTGCAGGGCGCTCTCTTACCTGTGATGGCTGCACACCACTGTTATTCCCTGCCTTCATCCCTCCCAAGGGAGCAGCTGCACACATAGACAAGTTGTGCGGGGCTCCCTGCCTCCCCTTTAGCCCATTCTCCACCCGGAGTTATCCTCTACTATGGAACTCAGACCATACCCTTCAAAGCCTCCAGGGGGATTCCCACTGCGCTGAGAAATGTCCTCCCCAAGGCCTCTGAGCTTCCTCCTTCTTCCCTGCCACACTGCTGGTCTCATAGGGCCAGGACTCCTGGCCCTCTCTGTTCCTCCCCAGCTTTTACAGAGCTCACTATCACATAAGCCAGAAGGTGCACACAAAGTGCCTTCCCTGACCACCCATCCCCACCAGGTCTCTAATCCCTTGCCTTCTCTATTTTCTCTCCATCCTTTACCACCACTGGCTAAAAGTTATTTGTGCTTCTTCCTATTCCTGTCTGTCGCCCATACTGAAATGTAAGCTCTGGGAGGGCAGACCCCTTGTGTGTCTGTTCCTCTGCATTCACAGCGCCCAGAGTAGTGTGAGCCACGCAGCAGGTCTTCGATAAGTATTTGTGGGAAGAACACACATAAACATCGGTCAATACCTACAAAGACCAAATCGTAAAGATGACCAAAATCTAACTTAAATGCACCCTTGCGTCGTTCCAGTCTTGTAACTGAATCACGAAAAATTTTTCCCAGACCCACAGATGTAGCTGCAATATGCGAGACAGAAATTCTATTGAAATATTACAAAAGATTTTAACGAGGAGTAATTTGGAGGGTGGGAGATTAAGAAAAACATTCTAGGAATTTTCTTGATTAGTTTGGTAACTGATGGTTTAAATGCCTCCAGACTAGGATACACTCAGTCTTTCCCATTTGTTTTGTTCAATTAACACTGAGGGTCAAGGAAAAAAACTCTCTGTGACACAGACACCTTAAGTTGTCAGGTCTTGGCCTGCTATTCAGTTTGTTTCTGGATTCTCTCTACCCTCGCTAATCCTGCATTTGTTCTTAAAATCAGAGATTTACTTATAATAAAGAACAAGAGTTTCCCAACATCAAAGCCTCAGGTAGACAAGAAATTGACCAGAAGGGAATCTCCTGAAGAGTAATTTATCCTGGGAAAGATTAAGTGTAAGTGTAACAAATAAATTGGGAATCTGTATGGAAAAACACAAATTGGCACAGACAGGGTAAAGACAGCTGTCCAGGCAACCTCGATCATACGAAGCCGTCTACTGGAAGGAGCACAGGTGTGGTATCTCATACCCGCAAACCTCAGTCTGTAGATTCTCCCTAATCTGCCCACACTACCCTAACTAAGACAATGACTTACTCAACTGACTATGACTCCAAATGGAGCTTGTCTGAATGGGCTACCAAGAAGAACGGATGTTAAAGAAGAAAGCTTTGCCACTTCCCAGTGGTCACATGAATAAAATGTCTTTTCTTCTCTGCTTCTGAGTGTTCTTACAAAATTTCTATAGCAACAGTCACAACCCCACTAAAAACATAGGATGCTCTAGTGTGCCTTAAAAAAGGTAAATATTAACACTGAAAATGTTGTGAAGTATAAGCAAGTTTTTTTTTTTTATGTTCTTTTTTCCTTCATGGAGATCTCTTCCTGTAAGTCTCGTTCCTCATCAGAAAATTTGCTGGGCCTAGGAGCTCATGGACCAAGCACGGAAGCCAGTCAGTTGATCTACATATATGAACGGGATGGACAGGCTGGGCTCCTCGGGGAACTGGAGAACACAGGTCTTTCGGGAAGGTGCTTGCCAACCTCTAGCAAAGAAGAAGTTGGCAGACTGACGCCCAATCCCTACGCTGAGGCTGTGATGCCGCTGTGTGGGAGCCTTGCCCTTGACCCGACCCATGCTAGGGGAGACCAACTGCAGACTGCAAGCTTTAAAACAGGCCTTATGGATGTCAATCTTCTAGTAAAGATTAGGTGACTGGTCCTGAATCTTCAAAATCAAGGTCAAGTTTTCCTCAGGTTTCACCATGTATATGATAAATCTGACTTTCAGAAAGAGCCTATTCTCCACACTTGTGTCTGAGTACAGTTAAAAGGAAATTGTTTCATTGGGTAACTAGTAAAAAAACAGTTCAATATAAGCAATAATCACAACATGTATATGCATGCATACAAATATTCAGTAACTGTGGCCATTCTGTTCATGGAAGGAAGTGTCTGTGATCATGTTTCCTTCTAGAAAGCTTATCTATAAAAGCCAAAGTCATTAATGCCTGGAATTACCTGTTACTCAAACAGAAGTGTTTAAAGTGTGATACAGCCATAAGAAAACATAAGATACAACTTCCAGGGATAAAAATGTTCTCTAGTTTTCAAATTTTGTACCGGGGGGGGACCCTCATCGACCCTAATATCAAATGCTGGATGTCATATAGATGTGTAAACAACCACTACAAGCTAAAACAAACAAACAAACAAACAAACAGTATTTAGGGGCTAGATGAACCCACACCTCCAAATCATTCATTACTCCAGATGTAAACAGCTAACATTTTTTGGCATAAATAATCACCAACATTAGTTGCACTGAAAAGAAAATTAGGGAGAGACTGTAATTGCATGTATTTGAATCATTGCTTTTATAACTCATATGTTATCTAAATAAATATTTGTAGAACATAAGACATCCTTTTTTCAGTATTTTCCCTTCATTACTAAACCTGCCAGGAACATATTACCCCATTTCATAGACAAGGAGAGCAAACTCATGCTGGTAAATCTGTCCAAAGCCTCATAGCTAACAAATAGAAGCTAGACTGCAAGCCCACATGCTCTTTCCAGTAAATACTATGAATTATTTGCAACAACCGGGACAAATGGAACAATAATACGCTTTAAGTCATACTTTAAAACACCTGCCATAGATGGTAATAAAGCAAGCTAACATTTTTAGATCTTGACAATTGTCAATGTGTGAGTATATCCATTATCTCAATTGGTCCTCAAAAAAAAAAAAAAGAAAAAAAGAAAAGAAAAAAACACTGCAATGTGCAGCAAAGATATTAATACTCCCATTTTAAAAATGAGGAAATTGAGGTTCCAAACATTTAAATGGCTTTTCAACACTAGTCTATTGCAGAGATGGGACCAAGGCCAGTGTTTCAACTCTTTTCATAGCGCCTTGAAAAAAAAGCATTTTCAGGTTCAGTGAAAAGAAGTTACAAGAAAAGCAAATTATAAACCGTGTAATCTGGCAGCAGACATTTGAAAAGCAAAAACTGTGATTATTCAGATTAGGGTCATGATGGATAGTGATTTTCAAGCTACCATTACATTAATTTTCTGACAGCATGCCCTAATTTAGAATACATTGTATTACAGAACCTTAAAAATGTCTGCCATTTAAATGTTTAAGAAAACCAAATCAAGCAGAACATATAATGTTTCTGGCAAATATAATTTAGACAGAGTAAGTAAAAGTAGAAAATTGCTGTTGTTTTTTTATACACAGAAACTAAGAAAAAACTTGCCCTTAATCAAGTTTTATATTGAATTAACATCAGGTCTGTTGCATACCTCACTAAAAAGCTAATTTAGTTTTAATTAAATCTATTTTTCAAATTTCATATATAAAATGGAATCTTGAAGTCATGCAAAGCTCCCCAACTACTCCCCTTTGCCTGCAGATAACAGATCGAGCCTTATTATATACATCAAATTAGAGAAATAATGAGGCACCATGTGCGCACTAGAGTAAACCAAGATTAAATGACACACATTTCAATGAAAACAGTTTTACCCACAAATAAAAACTAAAAACACAGTGGATACTGAATGCACCGTATCTGAACTTAAGGGATGCAAACTCTTGATCATACTGATAGTTTTATTCAAATAATAGCCTCCTTTAAGCAAACCGAAATCAATAACTAGTTCTACATTAATATTTTAATAACGTTTCTTTAAACAGACCCAATTTGGAGAGGGGGAGCAGTCGTCTGGCTACTGTTGAAATAATTCCATCTTCTGGGAGTTGCAGACAGAAACTATTGTCTGTTGTGATATACAAATAATCCACCTCATTTCCCTCTGGACAATGAAAATGTTCTCTGCACAGTCCCAGCTGTAGCTAAGAAGGCACAGGGGCCGCTACCATTGTTTACCAAGTGACAGTTCACCCAGCAGCTGATGGGCTCTGTTTGTCCTGGTCTACATTATCTTGCCAC